TTATGGGCGGGAAAACAGATTAGTAAACAGTAGAAAGCAGCATGAAGTTGCTAGCCTGTGCCGGCAAAGGGGCTAAAATTAGTGCATCCACCTGGGTGTGGTATTTCCATCACTTCCAAATGGAGCTGATCGGAGCTGAAACCATAAATACCAGTGACTATTACAAAGCGAGTTTTCCCAGGACTAAATGCTGATTGTGACCTTTCCCTTAGTCGGTGTTAGTAGATTTTTTGTTTGGTGGGAAAGAGGCTTTTGTGGTCCTTTTGTGCGTGTGGTCATTTTGAGCATCCTGGTCAGTATGTATGGGACCCCTGACACTTAGGGACCCTGGGGCTGTACCCGGTAGGCCCACTGAGGAATCCATCCATGTGAATACTTTCTATTTTTGTTGATACTAGGAAGTGTACAGATTGTGAATATAAAATTGAATCTCTGTGTCCCAGCAACGTCATAATATTATACGTTACAGCAGGACAGTTAAGTTGCATTATATTGTACAAGCCGTCCTTTAAAACTCACCCTGTGTCATTGTTACATGTACGTCATCTGCGGCATATGCCTTTAACAAAGCGGAGAGTTACCCAGCAGTTGTTAGTCACATTATTCTAACAATAGGCTCCCACACACTTACAGATTGATGAAATGATAAGTGGATGGATGGATAGATGGATGTTAGAGGCCATATCATATATCCACAGTTGTTCCATTACTGTGCAATACACCCCACTGTTCTTGCCTCAGCCATTAGTGTTATCAGAGAATCGGTGTCCTTTTTACTTCTGCCTTTTCCGCAACCAAACAATTGACCATCATTACCCACTCATTATTGGATGGACAGTCAGTCATGTTATAAGTCATCAACACATTACTGTGTCAGTTTGGGGCTCCATGACGGTCCTGTTCCTACAGTGAACTTCTAATGAGAACAGTAATGAGCCCCGGTCAACATACTAAACTTCTCATTTGGACCCCAGTCAGATTACAGTCAGTTGCCAGGACTGTAGAATGAGTGCTGACCTGATTTATGGGCTGGTTTTGGTTTCAAGGCCTTTTGTGTTCAAGGTCTGCCTGAAAACATACCAGTTTTGTTTATGTGGTGAGTCACATGCTGCATTCCACCTGTACACTGACTGAATTAGAAATCATTTCTCGGCACTGCTTTGCTACTTTTTGGGGGAAACAGCCACACTACTTACAGTATGTGAAACCTTTAAATGGAAACATACATTTTACAGTCTAATTAGTGGACGGGCATTCACAGGGCAAAGTTCAGAACTTTTTAACTGCATCATAAAAGATCTACATTACTTCAGCATACTCTCAGTGCTTTCAGCAGTGTGTGACATAAATCTCTACATAAGTCCTCGTGACAGTGTGGGAGAGGCAAATGGATCTCGGCACCATCAACTCAGAGATAGGGATTATAGTGAAGTCGGAGCACTTGTCTTCATCTTACAGTGAGTGAAGTACAGTGTATCTATGTCAGGGCATAATTTATGACAATATAGTCTTTAGAAGCCAAAATTTAGGCTATAGACTTCTGTTTGTGTACCTGTGCAGAGACATATGTAGGAATACTTTTGTGTTACTGCCTCCACTGTACACACTAGGAGAATATAGTGAAACGTGTAACTGGAATACATTTTTTGTAAAATTTGTAATACCATTATGTGATAGGCATCAACATTGTTTTGCTGTAAAGTGCCTGACAAACTAATTAAAGAGTTTAACTCATGAAAAAAAAAAAACATTTGCTGCAAACAAAAAGTTTGAATTTAGGTCACCCCACATAGGTATTGAACAGTGTTGATTGTAACCTAACTAAGTGGCCCATTTAAACCACTTAAATGGGGACATCCCAGTCACTCACTGCTTTGTAGCTTGTAATGTGTTCTTTCAAATCCAGCTCATGAAGTCAAAGCTTGTCTTTTGTTATCTTTCCTTACTCCATCTACCAAGCAAAAATCAGCGCTGCAATAAAGCACATGAAACATGACATGAAAAGAAAACCTGTGAAACAGTTCCAGTAAAATTAATGTTAGCTGTCCAGGGATCCGTCTGATTCGTCCCAGATTTCCAGCTTGGGTAGCTATTCAACCTGTGCCTGTAATGAGGGTCAACTGAACAGCTCTCTGGAGGGACATCCAGCCACAGGTCAGTAACATTTTGACCTGTCATGTGTTGTAAAGGCGATATACAACGTTAAACAAATGCATTATGTTGTCGGCTGAGAATCACATCGACCCAGTTTAATTTCTTATAGAACATGATGCAAATAGCAGGAATTTATTGTGATCAAGCTGTGTAAACTTATTTTAACTTACATTTTAATAAAAGAATATACACACAACTTTCTTGCATCCTTCTTTGACAGGGTGGGGATAGAAGCAAGAGCACTGAGACATTGATGCTATCTGGGAAGAAAAGTTTTGGGTTGTTGGTTCTACTTTAGACAATGTTAAGGCTTTTATACATTTATTGGTAGCTCACTGAGGGGAAACATGAATAAACTATGTTACTACTACTACTATAGACTATGTGAATAACAGCATGTGCAGTGGATGTCCAAAACGTGTCGGCAGCTACACAGGGTCAGACTGGGCTAGGCCTGTTTAATTTAAGGTAGATGCAGATAGTACAGTCAGTGTGTTGTCTCTAGAAGGGCACACACAAGGCTGGATTACCAACTGGGAAAATTTGGCAACTACAGAGGTTAAAGCTCCAGCAACACTTGTAGGAGAACAACTTTATTGTCAGCGCAACGTGTTTCAGCTTGTGGTCCTTGTCAGGGTCATCAGCCACCAACCAGGCAGCTGCCCCAGGGCCCCTCAAACACACCAAGTTGCTTTTGTGGCAGCTGGTTTGTGTTACTATTATTACTTGTTTTGATTTTGTTGAGGAATATAATGTGAAAAAATGAAATCTTTATGCTGATGATACACAGATGTACCTGCCTGATAGAGCCACAGACCCTGGGATGACTGCCTTACTGATGTCAAAAGCTGGATGTCAAATTTTTTTCTTCAGCTGAGCTCAGACAAAACAGAGATTGTTGTCATGGGGCCCCAGTGCGTTACTCAACAAATTCCACCTTTGGCTGGTCCCCTCTTGGATAATATCAAATCTGTTGCAAGAAATCTTGGAGTCTTGTTTGACAGTAATTGAAGTTTTGAGCAGCATGTCACAAAGCTTGTGCAATCATGTTTTTATCATAGAAATATTTCAAAAATACAATCCATTTTAACACAGAGACAATTTTACATGCCTTCATCTCTGCACCTCTGGATTACCGCAACAACCTCTTTTCTTGCCTGAATCAATAATCTATAATTGGCCCCAGACTGTACAGAATTTAGCTGCGAGGCTTTTAACCAGAACCAAGAGACATGATCACATCACTCCAGTTTTAGCCTCTTTACACTGGCTCCCAGTATGTTTTAGAATAGATTTTAAGATTAAGAAGATACTATTTACTTTTAAGGCTCTTCATGGTCTCTATCTCAGCTGCATCTTTGACCTCTTAGTACAGTTCATGCCAGGATGTACTATGAGGTCTTCGGGCAGAGGCCCGGCTGAAAACTAAAGGGGACAGAGTGTTTGCTATCAGGGCCCCGAGGCTCTGGAACAATCTACCCGACTCAGTTATCTCTTTTAAGTCCCATCTTTAAACAAACTTTTATTGGAGGACCTTTCTTGATTTTACATGAGTTTTAAGTTCATTTAACAGTTTTTTATTTCCTCTGTTTTTATACACGTAAGTGTTTTTATCAGTTCTTTTAAAAGTTGTCTTTTTCATGTATTTTCTGTTTTAATTATTGACATGTAAAGCAATTTGTAAGTCTGTTTTCAAAAGTGCTTTATGAATAATGATTATTTTTATCATTATTACTACCGAAATATAGATTACTAGCACAACCATAGATGTAGTTTTCCAGGGAGGACGTGGGGGACACGTCCCCCTCAATATTTAGAACATGTGCATTTGTCCACCCTAATAAAAATATCAAAGTAGTAGAGGATTTTTATTTTGTATTTTTGTCTGTATTCAGTTTTTTTTAGATTAAGAGAGGAAATTATCATTTAAGAGGGTTGTTTATTTATGAAACATACAAAGTGATAACAATGTGAAATACTGATGTGTTTCAGTATTGTGAGTCAAGTTATTGAATGGACTCAGTGCTGATTTGAAACGGTGTAGCTCTCTGAGTTTTAAAAAAGCCTTAAAATGCGAAATGATTATGGATTATAATATAAAATGATCAACATGTAAAAGAGTGGATGATTATAATGTAGGCTCTGATGTATTTAATTAGCTATTGATTGATTTATTTCCTGTCTTTGGTATAGTTGATATTTTGGGTTATCCTTTGGTTAATGCAGGATAGGCTTCAGCCTATGCCTTTTTTGGTTACTGTCTGAGAGAAAATATGTGTGAAATAATCTTTGTTTTTCAAGATATATGTAACCAAAATAAAAATTATTCATTCACACACAAAAGACACAAACTGTTGCATAGAAATTCACCAAAATACAGGACATTAAGTGTTCCATGTCCCCTGTTTTATGTGTACACGTTGAAACCAAACCTAGCCTTTGTGCACAATATCAACTGATGATCACAAGAACCTTAAAATGGGTCCCACTTTATTACCTGGTCTTGTGGCCTTGTTTTGTAAAAGCTTCTTGTGTCAAAATTCGGTTTGAGGGCTATAACTATTTTAGCTGATACTGTGCTCACATGGTACATTTTGAATGAGAGGGGGTTGATGGGAGGAAGCTCAGCAGCACAGTTGTTCCAGGAGGGGGAAAAAGTCAGCTTCTTAAATATATCCCCTAAAAAAAGTGGACTGTAAGTGGAGGAAACGTACAGGTCCATAAATGTCACTAAACAGTAAATCAGACTTTTATTTTGTAGGAGGACGCTGTTGATTACTTCCTTCCCCGTGTCACGTGACCCCGCTCTCGCCTAGATACGAGAACGCGTCGCTCCATGGTCGCTACGGAGGGAGGGAGGGATGGGTCCGCTGTAGGTGAAGAAAGACACTTCTGAGCACTTTCCCACGCAGTTAGGACAACTTTCTGTCATGGCACTCTGTGGGAAACGTTTCTCGGTCGTTCCGACAGCGGCTCTAGCAAGTTTTAACGTTTTTACATCCATGTTTTGGTGCTACTAGGGCATTAATCTTTCTGGGCATGACAGATAAAGATTAGTTAGCATGCTAGCGAGCTAGCCGCACACCCTCAGCATCACACAGCGACCACACCTGCCGCTGAAAGGTAAGAAATCTTGCTTCACTTATCTGTAAGAGTGTGTACCCCACCACTAGTCATGCACTGTGTTTTTTTACCATTAGTAAGTTCGGTTAAAATGCCTCGGTGTTGTTACACAATGATTGCCAGCACAGTTCATAGCAGGTGTTTTGGAGCGACTAATTCCTTGTGACAGTAATGATGCGGCTCTAATAGGATTTGAGCCCTCTCCTTCCTGTCGATTGTTTGAGGAGTACGCCAGGATGAAGGAGGGAGGAGCAGAGCTGTGCGTGTGTGTGAGAGAGTAGTGTTTGCGTGGGAACGTGTGGTTTAATCTCACCTTGTGGACTGGTCTGTCTCAACCTTATGCAAGATATTTTGCAGGAAGAGACTGTGTCTATTTAAGTTGGGATGTGTGGTATATGTAGATGAGCTCTGTGTTCTGGGGATGATCTGCAGCAGCTTTTGGAGGAGGTCACAACAGAAATTAGTAAATTAAAACAATAAATTGTCTTGAAATTTAAACAACATTAAACAAAACCAAATTTATGTTGTTTGGAAACTGCAGTACAGACATAAAAATACAGATTACAATTGATATGATATTGTGGAAAGAGTCTATGAAACTAAATTTCTGGGAAAATATACAGTGATACATTTACAGCAAGAAAACACTTAGTTTATCAAGTCAAATCATAGGGGTGTCATCCTGAAACATTTAGAATTTCAGCCTGAGTGTAGTTAATGGCAATGATATACTTCCAAACATTCAGTGTGACGCTGCTTTCTTTGTGTTTAATGTTTTTGCTAATGAGATTTCCCTTTTCGAGGTTCTGAAGTGAACTGAACTCAAAAAAATAAATAAATTTGTAGATTGATTTTGATTTGATTTTTTAAAAAAATTTAATGGTGTCTCACACACTTGCCCAACCCTCATGTGTTTACAAGACACCATTACAATGACGTTGCAGTAACAATCAACATACATGTAATTGAACTACTCAGTCCAGAAACAGAATACTCTGCCTTCTACTTCAGGCCTGGCAAAGACATTTAGCCACAAAAAAGTTCCCTTTCTGAAACAAAACTCAAATTTTTCATGATCAGCCAACCAAAAGATATCAGCACAGACAGAGGTCATCTTATGTCAGGACAGGAAGAGTTGTAAAGTGGCTTAATCCATTGCCCTTCACCATCACCACTCACTACTGTTCCACCTGCTTCTTTCATGTTATCCGTTACTAATTGGGCCAAACACACACACATAACTGGTGTTAGGGTAATGGATCTCCTCACACCCAACCTTGCAGAGCTAAATGCTAAGGCCATTGCAACCTCAACAGGGCAGGACATCACATACTCACTCAGTCACCACCTTACCCTGCTGCACTGCAGGCACAGGCACAGGGCACTGAGCTTCAGAACGGCATGCATTGGGAGAAGCCTAATCCCTGCAGCCGTAGCTGCCTCATAGGCCTCGCTAAGTGTGTACTGCTGTCTGTCATTGTATGTAACTGTGTGCAGCTGATGTGTACTGTTTGTTTGATGTGTACAGTGCTGTGGAAAAGAATTTCCCCTTGGTGACGATGAAGTCTAAAGGGAAGGATAGACGTAACTATGGATGCAATCATGATTTTCTGTCTTCTCTTATTGTATTAGTGTGGCTGCAGGTCTCTAGCAGACATGGGCAAACTACAGAGCAAGTTTCGTAAGAGGTCTGACCTCTACAGGTGAGATGTGCACTACTGAAATGATTTCTGTGTCCTTGTATGTACTATATTACTACATATAGCCTACTTATTAGAATCAGGATTTCAATATATAGCCCGTTCACACTAGAGAAAAACTGTTGTAGTAGATACTGGTACCACAAAGATAAGTTAATTGCATGCTGTATAAAGATGATTCTCGTACATAAAGTGTGGTATTAGTGTATTTACCTTGTTGTATATTTACATGGGCCATGTATACAGTGTAGTGCAGCCTGTAAAGGAACATAATATGCACATAATACAGAGATAGTTATACTGCAGGCTAAAATCAAGTTATTTAAAATAGTTGCTGGTTATGTTACTTTTTTCTATTGTCGTGTCCTGTGCAGAGCATCTCAGGGAGAGAAGGCAGATAATGCCTTTGACAGCCAGGTGGTGCAGTATGAACCTGCCCATCAAGGGTCCACCAACACTGTCACCAATCTCAGCCCAGATCTGTGTGTTTCTGGTGGGAGTGACCAGGTAAATTACACTGTGCAGTAGTAGTACTCTACTCCAAAATATCATTTTTTATCACAGTATTACTTTACTGACATTTTTTCTCTGGTGTTTAGAAGGGTTCAGGTGATAAATGAAGGAGTGTAGTAGTTTTAAGATCAGTTGAGTCATACCTAATGCAAGAAAAAGACTGAAATTATACAATTAACATTTTCATTTACATGGTACGAGAAGTAGAAGTGTGTTAGATAAGACACTGGACCCCAATTGCTCCCGATGGTCAGGCCAACACCCTGCCATCAGTGTGTGAGTGGGTGAATGAGCAACAAAACCTTGTAAAACACTTTCCATCAAACTGTGCACAACTGTCACCATTCACCATTTAATTTCTATGACAAAAAAATCCCTTAACATGTAGTGAACATTGGGTGCACATGTGTTTACATGTGTCTGCATATGTGTCTTTCACCCCTGCAGGCTGTGGTGGTATACGACTGGAAACAAGGCCGGATGTGTCAGTCCTTCCAGGGTCACAACCGAGAGGTTACCAAGGTAACGTTGATATCGCATGTGTGCACAAACTGATAAAGGTGTGACGCTGGTCAGAACTGATACACATGTGACATACACGTCTCCTCTGCCAGGTGGTGTGTTATCCAGGCAGCACATGGATATTCAGTGCCTCACGGGACAAGACTGTTCTGATGTGGGACCTGAACCAGGGGGACGAACCTATTCAGGAATATTGTGGGCATGAGTTGGTGGTCAATGGACTAGCTATCAGCCCTGGTATACATGAATACACACGCTCACACACACACACACACACACACACACACACTTGATGAGTCTTGTCACTCTTGAGTGAATATTTTAACTGTTGTCTTAAAGCCTTTTTATTGCTTAGGAGTATACTTCACCACAAAATGTCCACCTGCACCCAGCAATGGAAACAATTCTCTTGTTTTATCGTCATATACTGATAGTGAAAAAGTCTAGTCCCGAGGCTTTTGTCATGGCTTTATAATTTTGTGCACATTGTCATTTATTTCATATCACTGATCTGCACTGAACATATGAAACTGTTTGTTTTTATAGAGGGGAGAAAGCTCTGCACCGGCTCTCGTGACAACTGGATGTGCCTGTGGGATATAGAATCTGCAAAATGTGAACAGAGACACAACATTTCTAGAAACCTGGTGAGAATGATTGTATGTGCTTTCATGTGCACACAAGCTTGTACTTAGAATTGTTTCAAGCACGCTAAATCGCCTTAGGTGCATACTGAGCATGTAAGAAAAAGGATTGAATCAATAAGCCATTCAATCTGACTTTTACTTCCCGTGTTCATGCCCTGAAGACTTTTAACTTTTTCACTGTCCTTTCTTGTCTGCCCAGGTGACTCATGTGTGTTGGGTGCCAGGCAGCTCCTCTATAGTCCAGACCTCTGAGGATAAGACCATAAGGTACAGAGAGATATTACTGTAGATGCACATGTGCCATCTCGCCTTTTTATACTTTATCTGCCACTGATGCTTTTTTGATGCTAAAATGAACTGCACACAGACTTGCACAGTGGTTGATTTTTTAAATAATGAGTTTTTGAAACAGATGGTGATGGCTGATGCACCTACAGCAGCCAATTAGCATAGCAGAGATGAAATAATTCTTGGGATTGTGAGAATGAACAAATTCTGTAAAACTGAATCAGATGAACGTGTTTATTTGTTTAAATTACACTTTTAAAGAACCATTGTAACATCACACCTTCTTTTATTATCCAAAAAAAAGTCCAACTAACTAACCCAGGTAGCCAAAATGACCTGGCCCAGTGTTGGCCTAAACTCGGTATGCCAGTTGTCATTAACTGGGCCACGTCTGGTTGCCCAATCCGGCTGAGACTTGGCATGAATGACGCTCTAGAAGTGGGCCAATCAGCTGGCCTGATCCGGCTGCCGACACCGCCATCCCTGGGAGAAGTTAGATGTGTCCACTCCTGAAAACAGCAACTGCTGGTGTCTTTGATTTTATGCACTGGATATTGCACAAGTGTATTTCTACAGTAATGTTTTCTATGCGCACAGGGTGTGGGACAGCCGTGCATGGCAGGTGACCAACACTTTTCCAGCCAAGCAGTACATCCAGACCCACTGTGACGTTTCTGCAAATGGACACTACTTGGTGTCCAGCAGCAACGGCTTTGGAGGACAGGGCTGTGAAGCCACGGTGAGACCATTGCAGGTGTTTGTGTAGTTAGTTAGGAGTATAGGTTCAGACCTATTGTCTGGGTTCATTTGAGTCGATGCAAGACGAATAGCTGAAATAAACAATGTGTTTTGTGTTTTTACAGGTGTAAAACCTGGCACCTATAAAGCAGGAAGGCCAGTAGCTTCTTGATTAATACCAGTTCTTTCTAAAAAAATGTTCTCAAACAAAACAGTAGACATTGCCGTTGTGCAGATGGTCTCTGAATGTTTCCCTTGTGGGTTTGACTCCACCAGCTCGACCAGTTTCCAGTCTAATCTGAGTCTTCTAAAAGTAGCAAGAGACAAGGGTCAAATATTAAGTTAATCCTATTTGACTAATTACTAGTGGTACTGTAGTACTGTCCAGCCTAGTAACAAAGTAAAGCACATTAAAGCAGTGGTTACCAACTGGTGGGTCGCGGTCCAAAAGTGGGTCATACACAGCTAGTTTTTAAATCTCTGACATTGTTGCTTGTTCTCAGTGGATTTGTGTCTGTGTTAGCTCTGGGACCTGCGTCAGCCTGGCTGTAAAGTTGTGGAGTACAGAGGTCATCTCCAGACCACTGCCTGCTGTATGTTTCTGCCTACGCCTCCTGGTGGCGCAGCCCAGGTAGCAACGTCCTCCCATGACAGCTCCGTCAAAATCTGGGATCAGAACACAGCAGGTAAAGCCTCCTACAGAGTGTGAGGTTTTAGCAATCTTATAAGTTTAGCACAAGCTTCAAATGTGATGTATGCAGACCGAACGATGACACTGCCTACTGAATTGCTACAACTTATGGTGCAATAGCTTCCTATACTGAGTGCGCAAGGATGCTGCATGGGTTATTACTCCTCCAACTGTGAAGCACAACATAGAGGTCACATTATTATATGACCTAAAGTTTTGTGGGCACTTTATACTGTGGTGTGTCCATGCGTTTGTTTGCTAGCTGCTAGGTTGCTCACCTTTGTCCTTCTTTACACGTCATCGTGACAACAGCCATCCTTGAACCTCTTTTATTGTGCGGCGTAGGACCACCATTTTAGAGGCACAACCAAAGATATTGCCATGTTTCTTTCACGTTGGTCATCTTTTGTCTGGGACAGCCCAAAAATCGCAGCGTGTATGCCAGGCTTAACACCCATCATGGATGGAAACATTGATATACAGAAATATACACTGATTAACATGGGCACATATACACAGACATCTCCTCTAACCTTCCCTCCTCCATCCTCTGTTCAGCCTGTTTAGCCACGTTGTCTCTGGATGGTGCTGGTCCGCTGATTTGTCTGGCACCCACTGACTCGACCAACATGCTGTGTGCCAGCTTTAACAACGGCCTCCATCACATCCAGCTGGGCCACGGATCAAACCAGGCTCAGGTCTCCGGGGCAGGTTCAGGTGGAGCTGGTGGTCTGGACATAAAAGTCGTGGCGCGCTTCTGACAGCCCAGAGGAGCCTGGTGTGACTTGTAACCCTGACCTGTGAACAGACGGTGACTCAGCGCGGTGTGACTCACTGGATATGGACATCATGACAGTTCTTTTGCTTTTGTCTTTACTTTTTTTTCTACAATTTTACACGTCTATAGACATTTTTGCTTTACTAGACTGCCATACGATGAAGAATGACAGATGAGAGCAGCGAGAGGACATGTACGGAGGATGCACCTTTTGTCCAGCAAAGCCACCTGGATGCCCATCATAGCTGCTCCTCTGGGAGACTGGTCTGTAAGTCACATTACCTATTCATTAATGAGACTATAAATATCAAAATGATCCTGCTGCCTTCTTGGATCAAATCAGAGTAACTGGGGATTACCCTCAGATTTTTTACAATGCTCCAGCTAGGTGGATTGGACGAGAAGTTTTGTGCACGTTGCTTTTATTGTTGCTGATGAATACATGTTTGAAGGACATCATGCAGCCGGAGAGGTGTTGAGAATGTGGGAGCGCTCATAGAACAGGAAAAAACAGCTATTTGGTCAAGTGTTGGTTCTCTTAACTCTGACAGAGAGGTGGAAGCCAAATAGTTTTTCATACTAAAAGTATGTCATTGGTTTTTCCTGGATAAACTGTAGTAGGTGCAGTCAGACCTGCAGATCTTATTTGTCAAACACTTAAAGTTTTTATCACTGTAACAGAGTAATTCAGAACATGTGTATGTTGATAAATATCTGTTGATTAGCTCATAGCTTTAACCTGTCAAGTGTTAGACCAAATGAATATGACAGGAGACTGTATGATCATTGGCTTTGTTTTTATGTAGAAATCAATTCATGATGGTTTTTAAAGATACAGATTCTGATATTTTTTAACTGAAGCTGCCGATAGCTGATGTCTGGTGCAGATATCCAATATTTTTAAATCTGAGAATTACTATGCAAAATACAGAGTAATTCCCTTTTTAAAAAAGTATTGTTTTAATAAACAGATGGGAATAAAAAGATGTTGCAAGTACAAAAACAAAGCTGCTCTGTGACCTGTCAACATGAAACCTACTACCAGTTTGTTATGATAATGTTTGGTCAACATTGGTTGAGGTATTATATATTTTTTAATATGATGTTGCTACTGTGCTGATACCAACAGCTTTTGAATTGGCTGTAGTTTAGCCAACAAATACTAATATTAATATTAGCAGCCTTTAAAGTGCAGTCAGATATTGACCTTTTGCATGGCTCCGCCCCTTTTTGATGGTCCATCAAGCTGTCAGAGTAAGCATGGAGCATGGAGCCCACACTGTAACTAACTGCACAAATTTTTGGAAAAATGAAACAGTGATTCCAGAGAGAAGCAGACAGAGGGGTCTACAGTCTGTGTTTGAAGGATATATCCAGGATGTCAAACTGACTCAGCAGCAACAACAGGTTAAAAAGACAAAGATAGTTAGAAGCTAAAGCCGAACTATAGGCTACAGATCACAGTGTAAAAGTGAACCACCACATCACTGCTGATCGCCACACAAGACAAAGAATATAAAGGGAATCTTTGCTGATATCGAACCAGCTGTGTGGCATCGCAGTGTGTGCAGATTATAGTGTTTGTCTTCACCCTCTGCCAGCACCCGGATGGGCAGGGATCTCCGAGGGAAGTCAAACAGCGTTCATCTGCACACACTGTGATGACACACAGCTGGTTGAAAATCAGCAAAGTTTCCCTGCTTCCCTTCACTGGTTCCTGTACAGCAGGGTTGGTCTTTTTTTTCACTGTTATAATCATTAAAAAGCAAAAGCAGCATGTGTTTACATTCAGTAGGCTATATCTTCAGTAGCTAGCTAGCTAACCCTACACTTTTCAGGGTTTGATTTTGGTTTTGGAACAGGGAAGAAACGTATATCTTTTTCCAACCTCTCCAGGTAACAAGTATCATTAATACACGATGTGTCCCAGGCACAACATTTAGCTTTAGGAAATCTGATCCAATACGCTTTTGATCAAATTTTGGGAATATTTCATCACAGTATGCTAGCTGTTCATTTTGTATGTGTGGTGAAAAAAAATCCATTGTGCATACACAGACCTGGTTCTGTAAATTGAAAACTATTCCAGCCAATCACCAAAGGCCATGGATGTATAAAGAGAAAGGCAGTGGGAGCAGAGATAGAGGCTGTGGGAAGTACTGACGGGAGAAGTGTATTTGTTTGGGTGTTGAGTTCAAATATCCACAATCTCTCTTCAAAATCGCTGACGCCACCTGAGTAAACTTGGCCACACATTACATTCCTGACTGAAACTATTCTAGTATTTTATGTGTACATTTAATACTGATGACATTGTCAGTTTCAGCATCTTAAAATGGCAGAATTTTCATTGTTTGTTCATGTTTGTAGATATGCAGGTTACCATCTCTTCTATAGACAGTGGCTGCTATATCATTCGATTCTGTTTTAGAGAATTATCTGCAACTAGGAGGACAAAATGGACAGGTTTGGAGGTAGGGTTGTCACCATACCAGAATTTTAAACTTTGATACAATTCTAGCATAAAACAATGATACTTAATACCTCTTTTGGTACCATGGCTAAAGAAACAAGCCCTTGGCACCCCAAATTATGATGACAAAATGCAGAAACAGCCACAGGTTGAGGACCAATTGATTTTTCTTTCCCGTGGTTTCATCTGTGTAGCCTTTTATATAGCTTTGGTACTTTTGATACCATCAATTGTATAATTAAAGGAAGTCATGTTGTTATAGATCGAAAAAATGATATCGAAAAATTATCCAAGTGTATTTTTGACAACTTCATTAGGAGGTGGATCAGTAACCAGTTCAGTGGTAATGTACTCTCAGGTGCATCCAAATACAGTTTTGTAAATATGCTCTCAAATCATAATTTGGTTTAGTATCTACTGAACATTGGCTTGTTCCAGGCAGACGAGGCACAGCAACAAAAGATCACAGGTTAGGATGAAAACTCAGTGTCTTTGCCATACAGTGCTCAGGAATCCATATTTAGTAATTAATTATTTTTCTAAAATATAGGCAACACTACAAGCAGTAGTCAACCACAGGTGATCAGACATTTAATTTCACGAGGATTTACTGTTTGGGTGTTTGTCCCTCTAAACATCACCAGCTGATTTTATATATCTGTGTTTGACGTATTATGATTAAGTAATAAACAAATCATTTGATAATATCTGAGGAGTAAATTGTCGCTCTTTTCGTCATTGGAGGGTTTTTATTTAATATGCCTCTAATATGAATGCTTGCTTTATCTTATCCAGTAGAGTACTACATATTATAAAATCACTCAGTGCAGACCAGCTCACTGTGAGAGATGTATCCCAATACAAATCAATATGTACTTTGTGCCTACTGTGAGCAAAGATAATAGAAATTCAAATTAAAATAATCTTATCCAGTAACATAACTAACTTTGACATGTCACTGGCATGTTTCAACAAGTTTACACATGTTGTTGTAAGACTAGAATTTTCTTTCAGCAGCCACTGGCCAGTTTCCACTGGAGCTCCACAGGGTAAACTGTTTTCCTTAAGGGTAGCATGACAGTGTGTTTAAAGAATGGACTTCCCCCACCCAAGCTTTCCCCAACTGTTTGCAATCATTAATTCACTTTAACAAGAATGTCCTCGCCTGCTGTGTGAGCCACAACACAGCCACAGACTGTTGTTTTGAAGCACACTTTGTTACATGAAGAGGATCAACTAACATTATCGAGAGTGTACACAAATACCTTTCAAGGGTATTTTCTGATTTGTATAATTTGTATAATTTGTATAATGATTTGTACAACAATACAGTACTCCTACAGATGACACTAATTTTATTACTTTTTCAGGGTGTCTACAGATGTAACTAAGCTAAATTTAAGACTTTAAGACATTCTTAATAGCATCCTGTTCCTTACCTTATGAACAGTAAGGAAAAATGACAGCAGTTTGGTGAGTTTAAGTTTAATGTGTTTAATGTAAAAAGAAAACAAAACCTCATCGCTGTCATAAATGCTATTTACTATTGCCATTCTACAGTCTGTCCAATGATTGTAGTCAATTATTGGGTCTGTTAGGCCCCTAGAAATTTTCACCCTAATGACTGTAAATATTTAAGACCCATTGAATCTGAATTGAAGACTTTTTGAGGCCTTACATTAAGAAAATTTAACACATATTAAAACTTTTGAAGGACTCAGACACCCTGTTTTTAGGCTCTTGAGGATATGGACTTTTTTGTCCAGTTAACTCTTAAAAATGAGCCTCTATTCCAAAATGGGCTTTAAGAAAAGAAGATTGATCAGTGCCACCTAGTGCCGGAATTGTCCTTGTTAGAAAGTTATCACCAAATAATGCTGGTGAGGAAAAAATAAAATCTAATTGACATTTAATCTTCAAACATACTTGCATTTATCTCAAATGATTCCTATGAGTTTTGATATATTAAACATAGTAAATTCTGATTACAGCATAAATGCTCACCCACACATTCAAATCTTCATGAAATCATTAATGAATCAAAGTAGAAGTCTTTGTCATACCGTGGTGTTTAATTTATTCAAATCTGGACCTCATTTTCACTGACAAAAAGAAAAAAAAGGAATGATTTCTCCATGGACAGGTTTTCATAAAGACACACACTCACACAGACAACAGCAGGCAGGACAGTTTGGTGCTTGCCACTAAAGTACAGAAATATTCAGATAAAAAAAGGTCTAAAAATATTGATGAAATGGAAAAAAAATCAACACAATTATTAAACAAAAATATAAATTATTGGCACAGCATGTTATAAAAAGCAGGCTACATGGAATAACAGGAAAAAGTAGGACAGAGTACATTAAAATAAAGGAATCACCGGCCATTTAACCGGTGGGTTTAACAGACAATAAATATAATCAGTGCTGAGGGATGTCGACAGAAACATCCACTGGCATCTTGCAACATCCAAGTGGTAATGACAATTAGTAAATGAGTTGGCCTACGACGAGCGGCAACTTTATGTTTACAGTTTCTCTGTTTTCTCAAGCTGGTTTTTGTCTCACAAACAAACATTTTTGTGGTGCTAGATATAATCAATAAAAACAGTAAGAAGTGTGCAGTTCAAAGAAAAACAGTTTCACTCCTCATCCTTCAGCTTCAGTACCACCATCCATTGGGAAACTGGCTACAAACAGTCCTTCAATAACACACATGATTATTACGTTTCAATCATCACCTTCATAAATTACACATACTGTCATTATGAAAACATACAGAGGGCTTTAGACCGTAACCACACAACACAAGACACCAGCATCAAGCCCCTCTTTCAATCAGCTTTACCTCTGCAAATCGATTTCCCAACATATTATACAGTGGCTTTGTGTCCAGTTAAGTGTTATATTTGATGCACACAGTTCAGTACAGTCGTCATTTCAAATGTGACTGAAGTAATGCAGAAAAATAAGACTCATTATAACACAAAATAATATAATTAACTTCTTGACTAACTCCATCACATCACACATCACATTCTGTAAGAGTTCTCTACCTAGGCAGTCAACATGTATATAATGTAACATAACATTATAGGCATAAAGCATGCAAGAAAATCCCAATTAATTAGACTTTGGGTTTACTGGGGGGTGGGGGGTTACTGCGGGTATGAACTGGGTGTGTTTGGGGAGAGAGAGCTGTGTTCAAATATGAAACTGATTTTGCTGACTTAACTCCAACGAGGATGAAAGGCAGAGCAAAATATGAATCTGAATCCAGCCATTGTACTGAACGTATTATTAAAAATAAAACATATGTGATAGTAATTATCTGACTGTGCCGAGACACAGAGCCCATATGTGTGGTATTGTGGTGATGCAACACCTTCTTTCTCCAAGAAAAATATTAACACTGCACCGTCACAACACTGAGAAACATGAGGAGGGGGGCAAAATGCATCTCGCACATACTGATAGTTGCTGAGGATTTTGTTAATGTGTGTCGAGGGTATAAATACTGGTTGGTTCTTTGGCCTGGGTAGTGTCTTTAACTATACAAGACTACTGACTTGCATACACGCCGACTTGGGTGAAACATAGGATGGCCAATAAAATTTAGGTAATGTCTGATGACGTAAGGAGGCTGTGTGCTCCTTAGTTTGGGCTGTTTTTGGTAGTTATTGCTATAGTAGCTTCCAGGTGCTTTAACACTATGCTAAAGGCCTTTCCTTTACACTGGAGACTCTCTTTACAGTTGTATCTGTTCCATCTCTAGTCTCTAACTGGAGTGATGTTGCACTGTTGAGACAGTTACGCACAGCAGATCTGCTGGTTAAATTTTGTGCAACCTGCATCCGACTGTTGTAAAATGACTACAGAGCCTCACATGATTATGTGCACATCAAATGTGTCTTTGATTAACTAGTCTGTGCAGTTTCTTTTGCACGTCAGCAGGCATGTTGGAGACTGACACATTGAAAGCAGTTCACATCTCTTACTTAAATGAAGCTGGCCAAACTGTGGCCTGGAGCTGCACATTTTTAAGTATAATACAAATAGATGTGGCTGTGGTGAGCAATATAATGTGGTAGAGATCATTCAGGTTCAAAACTGAACTTTAAAAAACAATTTCTGAAGTCTCAGACAATAACAAGTTTCCTCTAAGGAAAACTCTCTGCAGGATTACCAAACTGTCGGTGTGTCACGACGGAGGGAGCTCTGTGATTACAGGGGGTGAAGTAGTGATAATGATGTGTTCTTTCTGATTCCGCCCCCCTAGGTGTGTCACAGGTGCACCAAGAGAGCCTGGCCACAATGACTTGTATCCTTAAGATGAAACTAAAAGCAACATTTTTCTAAACTTGCACAGCATTAGGGTCATTTGTAATGTGTTTACAGAGTCCAGATTTTATACATTGAAATTGCAAAAACTATGCAGAAGGGGAATATGAATAGCTGAAGACATAAATGTTAAACAAGGAGAAGCATGGCAGGGAAAGTCCTGAAAGTCTTGTATAATGGCACATGATGAGGAAATATAAAAATTAATTGGCAGAAATAATGAAGACATAAAAAGCCCTATAAATCTAACTAACTAGCTTTGGCTACAGTGATGCACACCAAGCCTGTGTGTAAAACACAGCTTTAATAAGACATACTGTATGTATCAATCAGGCTGGTTGTAGATCTGTGGTGAGAGCTTTTATCACATATGAACATGAAGCAATTTAAAATATCGCACAGCTTTAAACACAGAGCTAAATGGGGTTTTACAGTACAAGCTTGTATTTTTGCCACAGCATCAAAGGCACTAGCCCTAATTTAATGTGTAATCAAGTTGAGAAATTGATCCAGTTTATGCTAAAAATCCTCACCCAAAAAGATGTATTAAGACATGCTTCAAACCAGTGTGACTTACAACAACTTGAGTATTTTTTTTCTAAAGCATTTTTGTGGATAATTTGCTTGTGCGTTCACACATGTACAGTAAATATTAACAATGCTTTCCAAAGCTGCAGTTCTAATCCCTACACTTATTCCATGCTAGTATCAAAAAGGTGGATTTGGTCATGACATAAGACATTTAACTTTTCAACATGATGTAATAACACAAACTGTGCACCCATTTATCAATAAGTGTTGTAAGATACTGAGACAGATTTAAAACCATATCTGAAAAGCTGTAAAGTGGCTCAAAGAGACCAAGACATGATTTTAACATACTTGATATCTCTTTTCCAATTCTATGTGTGTAGGTTGAGTCCCTGAGATATTGCTGCCTGTCTGCATTTTCTCCTACTCTGATGGTGACTTTTTGATACAGTGCTTTACCATTTCACAAGCTTGAAAAACACACACACACACACACACACACACACACACACACAAAACAATAATGCATTTGCACACACCTTTGAGTAGGTCACCCAGGTTCATCTGCTCATGCACCCATACACAAAAACACACGCAATGAAAAGGAGGTCCTGATGTCAAACTATTGCCACTATGGGACGTTGGCTTCATGAAACAAACTAGGACTACATGATTTCAACATTTTTGGATGGAAAATGGAATAAATAAATCTTACTATGAACAACTATCCAACATCTTGAGGATTTTTTTTTTTGTTTACATATTAGAAATACAATGTTTATATCGGGCCCCTGCATCATACACCCGAACCCAACCCAAACCTTCAGTAGGTTCAAAAAGGGGAATACATGTTTGTGGACAAACCTGTGTAAGAATCGTAACCCCCAGGCTATTCACAAGGATAGAAACAAACAAACATACATAAAATATGATTATTCATTTAGCAAAAGCATTGACGATGCTTATCCAAACCCCAAGAATTCAAACCTCAGCTTGGGAATTTCTCAAAAATAGCTGAGGTGTAGAATTAGGCCAGCATTTAGAAAAAAAGTAGACATCCCTCTGATAACTTCCTCACAAATGTAGCAAAAAGCTTTCGATCAAAGCCTCAAAAAACAAACAGAAAAAGTGTTTGGTTGATTTGCGTTAGCTCCGAGTGAACTGTCCGACCTCTGAGGATTTTTTAGGTATCCTGTAACTAAAATAAACTCAAGCCATTAAAATACTGATTTCAAATCTAGTTTGTCTCCCATCTGATAATAGTAAATACCCAGTAGTTGTGTTGCTGCAGATGTGTACTGGAAACAGCATTCTGCCATCAGCTGCAGCTGTTGTACGATATCCCCTCCCTCCCCATCATCCTCGCTGCTACCTACTGGTCCCCAGTGCGTTCCAGGCCGTCTATGACGCGGCTCAGCCTGATGTTAAGCAACCTGATCTGAGTGTCCAGGTGGTCGATCTTCTCTTCCAGTGAACCTGCACCGCCTCCCCGACGCCAGTATGCTCCCACGGGCCCCGTCATGAAGTACACCGCCATGATAAAGCAAAGTGGCAGCACCGCGCGCTCTGGGTCACCCTCGAATTTCTGCAGGATGTAGAGGCAGGACAGGGCGAAGAGTGTGACGCGCGCTACCCAGAAGAAGCGGCCGAACACAGCGTGCAGCAGGTAAAAGAAACCCCCCAGGAACATGGAGAGGAACCAGTAGGCCACAAGCACGGCGGCCACCAGGAGCAGGGCGCGTGCCGGAGAGTTGGTGAGAGATGTGGGGCTGAAGTAGTGGCTGAGGTTTGAGGCTACACGGGAGAAAAAGAAAGAAAGGATAAAGTCTTACAATATGTCCCCTTCTTTGTGCTCATCTTTCTTTGTAGAAGTGTCATAAGAAATTTTAAACTCACAGTCGATGCCCATCACATCCAGCAAATCTGACCAGATCTTCCAGATGGTGTCCAGAAAAGAGTCCACGCCATGGACAAACCGCTCCGTCGTTTTGGAAAAAAACTACAGAACCCAAAAAATACGGAGAGAAGGGTGAGACTGTTTCATCATCACATTAGATTTTTAGCAAGAGTAAAAAGAAAAGAGGGGCGTCAACCACAATTGCAGTCATGCAGTTGTGCAACAGTCATGATTAACAGATTATTCTCCAATCTACTGTCAACAAGAGAGCCACTCTGTGTTTACAGTAGCTGCCTTATGTATCACAGTTTTTGTTGGCATTATCCACAGTTAATACTCATTTTGCTATTAAACACTAATTGCTCTAGCTGCTTACTATAATGTCTTTTGAAGCCTACAATATGAAGTGGACCGCACTAGAACCTGACACTACAGAAAAACATTACAGTCTTTTGAGCAATGCATATGTACAACACCATGCAATTTGTATTTTTTTTTTATTTTATTTATTTATTTTTTTTAAATTTTATATACTTTATTAATCCCCCTGAGGGGAAATTCATCTCTATGACTCTGTTAATGGCCTATGAGGCTATAAATTAAATAACTGCTTACTACTTCTCCAACCAACCATGTTCATACATCAGTAAAAAGTTAAAAAGACTGAGCACGTGCCTTTTTCACAGTGTGAAAGCAGACTGTTCATAGGAAGCAATCCGTGTGACTACGTACAAACAAATGCACATTTTTGCCAACTCAAAATTGAGGCTGCAACTAAAGATTATTTTCATTGTCGGCTAATCTGTCGATTATTTCTTCGATTAGTTGACTAATCATTTTATCCAAAAATGTGTTAAAATGTTGAAAATTTGTCGGTATGTCTATCCCAAACCCCAAAATTATGTCATCTACTGTCTTGTTTTGTACTCACGCCAAAGGATTTTAGTTCACTGTCATGGGAGAGTGTGTAAAGCTGCTAATATTTGAATGCAAGTAGCTGCACTAAGAGTATTTTGGGGTACATTTATAGAACTTGTCTATGAAAAAAAAAGACTCAACCAAATTAGTCAACTACTAAAATAGTTACCGATTATTTTGATAGTCGATTAGTCATCGTTTAGTCGACTAATCGTTGCAGCCCTACTCAAAATAAAGTTATCCCCACGACAATAAGTCTATAGGTCAATTCGGTGTCACTTGAAAGTCAACATAAGTTAAAATGCAGACTAACTAAAGCAGTGGTTCCTAACTGGTCCAGCCATGAGGTCCAGATTTCTCCTTATTCATTGGTTCAAGGTCCATAAACTTTAATATATGCAGTGTCATACTTGCATTTGGCCATGTCGTTGAGATAGTTTGCTGTCTCTGTCAAGTAGCTAGTAGCTAGTCACTCATTCTACAGTAGGGAAATGGCACTTCAAAATAAAAACCCTGTGCTGGAAATTCATTGTACTTCAAAATAAAGTGTGTTTTTTTCCAAGTGAGTCACTTGCTGCCCATTCAGAATGGACCCGCAACCCACTTTTGGACCGCGACCCACCAGTTGGGAACCACTTAACTTAATAGGTGGTATCTTATTTAATAATAAGATAATCTCAGCCATGTTTGGTAGGAGTCGCGAGAAGAGGAGTTTGGTGCACTGTTTGCAAATGATCATTTCTCCATAACTTTAATCAGCCATTATTCGTTTGCCTGTTGTTATCAGTAATACAAGACTTTCATTATTCATTTTTAAAGGTAAGCACAACTATAGAGCACTTTAAAAAGATGTACAGACACAGTATATGTAGGAGAGCTGAAGAGGGGTGATGCTGATGGATTGGTTTATCTATTTATCTGGGCTTGGTTGAGATGGGGTTTGTATCTTTAATATCTAAGACTGTTTATTGTAAATAAGTTTGGGACAGTTGTTGACAATTTCCTTTTTAAATAAGACATGAATAGTGAGAAGGGGGTAGGATTACATAAGAGTACACTTGTTCCTACTCTTTTTGTGTCTGTTGATGTTTTATTTCTTATATTTTAATTCACTCAAATTAAAGTCATTCATTAATAACTAATTAATTCACATGGGCATATCTGAGTAAATATTTTTACAATATAGCTACACCTGCTGGGTGCAGTCAGACAGTGTGTAATCACGTGTGTACAGTATCCTCACACATGTCACTTTGGTTTCAATTGGCGGCTACAAACAGGAACTATCATTAGATTTCAAAATGCAGGAAGTGCCGCAACGATGAGACATGAATGTATACATCCACTTGAGAGCATACAAGCTCATGTGTTACATTAGCAAGAGCAGCATTTCTAATAATTTGGAGAGGAGGTCGACATAAAGAAACAGCTGTCCGGGCTGGACCACCGTACATGCCATCTGTGACATTAGATGCACTTGCTGAAACACCAGGAACAATGAATGAGAATATTGGCTACACGATACATTGCACAATTTAAGTGTTACTGTATGAAAACACACCCTTTTTTATCATGCAGGGCAGCGTTACATCATATGACATCTCTTAGAGACGGATAAAACACGGTATAATGGCTAATTTTTCAAAATGGCATCCGTGAAATTGTTGGCCAGGCCCGGGCGCGCTTGTTTCCTGTTCACACTCACACCACAAGACCGCCTTCTGTGCTAGCTTCTCCAAAATACAAAAAGGAGCTGCTATGTTGTCGAAACATGTCCTTCATTCACCTTGTACAACCCTCTGATGCTGTCCTCTCCGAAGACACTGCTCAGGGTCTGGTAGATGCCGTTAGCTGCCCGTCGGAAGCTGTTCTGGTTGCTGGTCCTGCTCCTGGCCGCTTCGGCTGTGCACGACAGAAACGCGGAAAGCACCAAGAAAACCACGAAAAACCTGATTCCCTTCATGGCCCCAACAGTCCCGAGATGTCGCGCAGAAATGTATATCAAAATGGTTCAATTAAACGCGGGATAAGACTGACTGTTAGCTGCCTGGAGTGACACCTTGGTGGGGGATGAGACGCTGACTGTGATGGTGGTGATAACCCGTGCTGCCTTGAGGGACGCCTCGTAAACTCTGCTTTCCGCGCCCAAATATGCCTTTTCGTGTGAGTAAACGCCTTCGATTTTTCCTTCTGTTTGCTGTAAGCATACGCATGCTAGCTGTGAAAAAATACCCATCAAAACTATATAGAGTACCAAATTAACAAATTCATATTTATTACGTGTTTTTTTATTATTAATTTGCCGTTTGAAACACATATCATAGCTCTGGTTTCAACATTTCCGATCACCCCTAAACGCCTCTCTTGTGTTCACGGTCTATGAAGCAGGACAGACTCATGTGAAGCTCACTGCTGCCCTCCAGTGGTGAAGTCGTCTCAATGGTCTCCCTCATTTTTGCCTCCCATTCCTGTACACCAAACTAATTTCTTATGTCATAGAAACTCTATCATGCTTGTATAAAACATATCTGCATGATTTCATCATTCACTCTCCCAATACTGCTGTCTATAATGACAAAATTAAACTACTAACCAAATAATTTAGTAAATAATTACCCCAGTTCTTAGCGATAAACTTTTTTGTAATTGTCCTCATCAATTAGAAACAAAATTATTACTTATACCTAGTTTTGTCTGATTTTCTTCTCTAATCAGGTAGTGTAAGCCAAAGCTGTGTGTTATTCACTCTCCATGTAAATAATGCTTTTTAAAAATATCTACATGTAGCCTATGCGTGTTGCTCATAAGGAAAGAGAATATTGATAGCCCAACCCATTTTTTTTTTTAAATTTTACAAGAAAATAAGCTCTTCTGATGCGGAAAAGGTTACATGCCATATTTTTTCAAACAATGATCTAAAATGCTTTCTAAACTTGGCTTACACCCAGATCCCTGACAACACATGTTTCTGGCTATGATATGGTCAATATCTCAAGGGAGCAAGGTTATTTATTGTCAAACAAACAACAATTACAAGAGTGGTCTTTGCCATCGAAAAACTTGGTAAACTCCAACAATGCAATTCAAATAGGCTGCATGTAAAATAATAATAATAGGAGAATAGTAAGATCACACAAGTAGGAACAAAAAGAGAATATAAATATAAGGATATATGGTAGTACAAGTTAAAATAAAGGATAAAATATAACATAAATAATATATGAAGTGAGTGATATAAATCAGTAGTTGCACGAATAGACAGGCTATGGCAAGAATGTGCTAAAATGTATTTGCTTAACAAGTCTGTAAATAAATATGTATATACCAAGGTGCAAACATTTTAAAAAAAAGGTGCTTTATCATATTGCATGATAGATCTTGCTCTGGCACTGTGCATGTTGTAAAAAAAGTTTAACAGATAAAAGAGAATAAAACAATAAAAAGAGTTAAAAACAACAACAACAAAGTCTATCTTTATGACATTTTCAGATGTATAATTCTTTCAGTAAACATCTTCTGTTCCAGTCTTACTGACTTGGCAGCCTTTAGATGTGAGTAAAATCTGAGGGGAGACATTGTAATGTGAGTTTTAGGGGAACAGGATATCACCTTGAGCATATGGATGACTGTTTTCTGTGACTAACTGATAGACTTTCCACTTTCACTTTCCACCAGTGAGAAGCTGCCCACTACAATTAAAGTGATCATATCATTAATAAAATGCAATATATGTCTCCCTTATATATGATGATTATTGTTGCTGCTGAGTTGTTGGATGCCCTCTTGTCCGACTAACTTTTCCTCCTGGGGATTAAGCCTATTATAATTTGTCAAATCGACTACCAGTGTGCAGAACAAACCTTCTGCCTCTGAGATATGACAGGAAGTTCAAATAAGGACACACTTCACTGCTGCTCCAGCGAGGTATTTGTTACTTGGATAGCTTTCCCCTGAGTTCTCATTATCCATATCTTAACTACAATGTGAGGCCGGCTAATAGTGCTGGAGGAAGTAGGTCAAGACGGCAAATAATGATAACAGCAGTGACAAGTGGCCACATGCAGTCAGGAACAGTACTACAGAAACAAGCAGTGTGTTGCTGAAATTTGATTAGGATTTTTTTATGATGAACTATGGTTGCCCCTTGACAACACTAAATATTAAAATATGCGCGGGATTAATGTAAAATAGACTAATTGTGGGAATATTTTACTGTAGATGAAAAACAGATTTAAGGTGATTTCACAAAAATGCAAGCACAAACAATTATTATAATAAAGGCAATGCAATTTATTGGAGTTATGAAAATATTCAGGTGATACAGGTGGTAGAAAACATAAATATGTTGTTGGCCTAAATTTTGGTACCACACTCACACATTTTGGTTTCCTCTGTGTGCATCTGATCTGTGACATCAGTCCCTGTGTGACTGCGGCATGTGACGGTATGTGGTATCCTAGCAACGACGCACGCAAAGTTAGTAACGGACAGAGGACTGTTTTAACCTTGACGCTTAAAAATGTGATGAAGTGACACTATAATTCGGTTTCAGAGACGACTCTAGCAGGTGTCCGAGTTGTACAAATGAAGTTTAGCTAAGCTACCAGCCTGTTTTCAGGGTAAGGTGAGTTGAAATGTACGGACGAGCTCCAAGAGTGACTTTCCTGTCAGCAGCCGGCACTTCATCAGCAGTTGGCCCCGGCTCGTACGACGTCACAACGAGCAGTCCTAAGATATCAGGTAGGAATTAGCTAATTAGCAACAGTTAAGATTTGAGGGACAAAGTTATAACATTAGGCTACTCAAGTCTCGCGTCAAATCATGAAAATAACCTGGTTGTTTTTTACAGCTTGAGAGAAAATGTTTGCCACAATGCACATTATTAAAATCATAGAACTATAATGATTAAAATCAACTGAACTTTAGCTAGCATGTTAAAATGCTAATGCTAACCCTACCGGAAAACCGCAACATAACATTAGTGCTTTGGTCTTGTACCATAGTCTTTTACTGAAATACAAGTAGGAATACCACAGTGTAAAATACTCATTTACAAGTAAAAGTCAAGAATTTAAAATGTTATGTAATGTTAACATTGAAATATACCTAATGTAAAAACAGTAAAAGTAGCCTTAATTTATTAGAGTAGGGGGTGGCTGGGGTATCTATCTATCTATCTATCTGACAAACACACACACACACACACACACACACACACACACACACACACACACACACAGAAACACACACTGGCCACTTTATTTGGTACACCTTGCTAGTACCAGGTTGGACCCCTTTTGCCTTCAGAACTGCCTTAACTTGGTGGCACAGATTCAACAAGGTGCTGGAAACATTCCTCAGAGATTTTGGTCCATATTGACATGATAGCATCACACAGTTGCTGCAAATTTGTCAGCTGCACATCCATGAAGTGAATCTCCCGTTCCACCACATCCCAAAGGTGCTCTATTGGATTGAGATCTGGTGACTGTGGAGGCAATTGGAGTACAGTGAACAAATCGTCATGTTCAAGAATCCAGTTTGAGATGATTTGAGCTTTGTTTTTTTTAAAGGTTATTTTTTGGGGCTTTTTGCCTTTAATGGACAGGACAGATTGAAATGGGACGAGAGAGAGAGAGTGGGGGTTGACATGCAGCAAAGGGTTGCAAGCCGGAGTCGATCCTGCGACCGCTGCAGGGAGGCCTCACCTCTGTACATGGGGTGCCGGGTGTTGCACCGAAATCTGTGACCGTCGGAATCTGTGACCGCAGGGGCGATGTTGCACATTGTCTGCGTGTGTGGCCATCAGCAATGGCAATGGAAAGTAGATAGCCTTAAGGTAGATGTTGTAAATTACTTTTATTATAACAACGTTTTGTGTGATAATGTATGCACTGTTTAATAAATGAGTAAACATCGACACAGGTGCTCTGTTATTGCCTCAATATTTGGACAGATGTATTTTCATTTCAAAGTTCAACTGTATGAATCTGCATAATAATGAGTTTACACCTCAAAATAACTGTTTTCAATCCTTCTGTCATCCTCTCACATCAATATGGACACATATATTTGTATTTGGGATCATCACAGAGATAGAAACACAGAGGTCACATATTCTGATGGCTGTACAGCGGTCACAGATTCCAACGGTCACAGATTTCGGTGCAACACCGGCACTATTCACTACGCTGCCGACGCCCCGATTTGAGCTTTGTGACATGGTGCGTTATCCTGCTGGAAGTAGCCATCAGAACATGGGTACACTGTGGTCATAAAGGGATGGACACGGTCAGCAACAATACTCAGGTAGGCTGTGGTGTTTAAACCATGCTCAGTTGGTAGTAAGGGGCCCAACGTGTGCCAAGTAAATATCCCCCACACCATTACACCACCACCACCAGCCTGAACCGTTGATACAAGGCAGGATGGATCCATGCTTTCATGTTGTAACACCAAATTCTGACCCGACCATCTGAATGTCGCAGCAGAAATCCAGACTCATCAGACCAGGCAACGTTTGACAACCAGACAACCATGTCACATTCAGAGCCACTTAAATCACCTTTCTTTCCCATTCTGTTGCTCGGTTTATGCATGATTATGTTTAAATACCCTCAGAAAAAGCATGTTAAAAATCTTTTAAATTACACCAGTTGTCACAGTCAGAAACTGTGAAATATGGTTATTTAAATTATTTATTTAAAATAAATACAAGATACAACCATTTAAAGTTGAATGTTCCTCCCCTAAGCCAAATTAAAAAACATAGCCTAACTCCCTCCCCAGTACTTAAAAAATATTTAAAGTGCCTCCCACATTTTGCACTACCCCCTCCCCTCTCATAAGGACCAAACAGTCCCTAATGGCCCATTTCAGAACCATATATATTTTATTACTGGATTATAATTAATAAAGCACAATTTATAAACGGCTTTAATGTTGAAGCTGGTAAAGGTGGGGCGAATGTTAACTCAATGTTGACTGCTGCAGGCATCTTAATTTATTAGTTGATTTATTTTTAGTATTGATAGTCTGAATCTATTTAATTAATTATAGCACAAGTGCCTCAAAATTGTAGTTAAGTACAGTACTTTATTAAATGTACTT